TATATATATATATCAGACATCAAGCTAAACAGTCACTAGACAGACAGGGTTAAAAAAAATATGATCAACCTTTTTCCCCATCACTTTCATTTTTTTAAGTAGTAATTAATAAACATTCAATACCATTACAATTTCCTTTGATTTAATTTTAAATACATATTTAGAGTGCCCAGGTAGCACATAAACAATGCAATTTAACGGTTTTCTTAAAGTAGGAACATTTAACCTGTGGCCAGAGCTCTCTCTTTCCTTCTGCTCTGCTTAAACCTGAACTGGTCACCTACTTGTGCATAATAAAATGTCTATAGGGGAAAAGATGGAAAAGGTATAGCCATGAGGTTCACTTTTGCCTCAGACCGACGTATTGCTGTTTTATGGTGTGGCTGAATCTGCGATCCGCTGCCACACGGACTGGAACAACAAATGCTGCAGTAACATGAGTTGTGGTCAGGTTCATGAGGAGTCACTGGCTGGAGCGGACCCAGGGATGAAATTTTGATTTCAGAAGTGGGGGGGACACAGCAGGCTTGTGCGGATTTGGGGTGGGGGTGTTATGTAAAGACCCCTTGACACGTCACGTGCCCATCTCAATAATTTTTCCATCCTCAATATATATATATATATATATATATATATATATATATATATATATATATAAGTTAAAAAATTTACAACTCTATTATTATTTTTATTTATTATCATTATTGAAGTGCAGTTTTGGCTGTTGACAATGGATAGGCCATTGTATTTATTGTTTTGGGTCTTTTTTATTGTTTTTGGTGCAACATTTTCTAACAGGGAGTGAGATTCCTTTTTTATTTAATTTTTGTTTGTTATTTTTATTCATTTAGAAGTTCTGGTTCTGGACATTTCAATGTTAAATGAAGGTTTCTTTGTTGCATTTTAAAGGGTGTACTTGCATTATTATGATATATTAACATTATATTAGTGGTTATTTTGGTCTAGATAATGTTGACAATATCGTTTATCATCAACAATTTGTTGGACAAAATATCGTCCAGCAAAATTTGTTACTTTCCCAGGCCTAGTCAAAAGTATAAAAATTATTTACACATAAACGGTCCTCCTGAGATCTGGCCGTTTGTTCATTTGCTGTGTTAGAGGACATGCTGAACTAATGTTTTACACATGATCATCACCCTAACATTTGAGTGTATAAAAACATATTAAATATGTTTTTTCCCTTAAAAGTGTTTCAACAGTTGTTGCATTTCAACACACCAAAAATAAATGGAAAAAATAAGATAAATCTAATGAAAAGTGTACATCTTTGACATTAAGCTTAAAAAAATCTGTTGACGATGATGATACTGTTCATTTTTCAGAGCTTTTTAATGTGAAAATATACATTGCAATAGATAAGTTTACAATAAAGTTAAATGATAAAAGTTTTGAAGTTACACTTCTACTACTACTACCACTACTAGTAATAATAATTATGATGATAATAGTAATAAAAAAATAATAATTATAATACGAATAAATTGTGTCTGAGGAGTCAGTTATGTGGAGGAGATGAGTTTGTAAAAGTTAATTTTGAGTATGTTTGTGAAGGAGGAGGTGAGTCTGAGCTTAATGCAGGGGTGTCACATGTTCCAACTTACGTTTTGACTTTGAAAGAAGTCTCTCATATCCACTTTTCGTTTTCTTGACATGCTGCCTCCTGGCTCTGCCTAACTACCAAAGACTCACAAATGAACACTTATTCAAATGTTATGTAATGGAAGCTGAGCTGAGCTCTGATATTACACAGCGTCTAGTTGACGATGTGACTCAGTAACGGTGTTCCCCAGCGGCTCCAAACTAGCAAAACAACGTGAGCACGTTCTGACTGTTTACAACTTGAGTGACAGCAGCAACAGCCAATAATACGTTAGCAAGTATCAGCAGAGCCAATAGATTAGCTTTTGGGCGGGTCTAATAGTAAAGCGGTTTCCGTTTCGGTCCTAGTGCTCAACCAAATTCATTTAAAGGAGCGTAACATTGTTTTTGGACGGAAAAAAGTGCAGGGGACCAAAACTGCCTTTTGAAAAAGTGGGGGGGACATGTCCCACCCGTCCCCCCCCAAAATTACGTCCCAGAGCGGACCCGACTCATCCCAAAATAGAAGCTAATATCTTAATTTGACCTTGAATGAAAAATGTTGTTATAAAACCTCTTAAAAGTTTTTTATCACGGAGGAGGCAGCGCTCATTTCTGCCTTCAGTCTGACGGCGCGGCGCAGCGCAACGCCACGCCGCGCAGCATGTGCTTATTGAATCTGTGTGTGTGTGTGTGTGTGTGTGTGTGTGTGTGTGTGTGTGTGTGTGTGTGTGTGTGTGTGTGCGTGCGGCACAGCTCCATGAGCCGCTCCAGTCACCGCGTCTCGTTATTGGTGCCATTCAAACCAATGTTGTAAAATTACTTCTGCCCAGCCCAGATATGCTCACTTGTGCACCCGTGAGCCGTGGTTCCGCTGGAACGCGTCTGACCTCTGACAGACTCACTCTGAACTTCAGATCTTCAGCGCGCTGTTAATAGCCTGACACGTTTAGAATGCTGTCCCACAGTCCGTGTGCTAATATAATAATCTAATAATGCTAAAATGCTCAGATGGGAATCATTTCTTATTTATTTTATTACATCCACAATGTTCTGTGTGTGAGGTTTACAATGTCAGAACACCTGCATGAGACGGGGTGTTAATTACAATCTGCCAGAATGACTCACCTTCAGATTTCTCCAACACCGATAAAAATGATCAAATACGGAACACATCTTGCTGTTGACAGCGTGCGCAGGCCAGAGTGCTGAAGCTCGGAGCGATGAGGACACACACACACACACACACACATACACACACACACACACACACACACACACACACACACACAAACACACACACACACACACACACACACACACACACACACACACACACACACACACACACACACACACACAAGCAAAATATACTTGTTTTCAATTACATTTATTGTGCCCACTTACTTTTTCTTAGGCCCACCCACAAACGAGTTTCTGGCTACGCTAATGGTGACATATGACAGACTTCCCTGAGCTCCGCAGCCATTACACTTTTCACCTCGCGCACCCCCTAGAAGAAGAAGAAAAACAACATGGCTGCTTGTTTTAATAAACACACAAAGATCTCGGTTTCCTCCTAAACTTTGCAATTTGTGACAGAATTTGTTATTTTATTTTTAATTGTAAAATTATTTTCACATACCTAAAATGTTACTTTAGGTAAGTTTAGCATGAATCAACCAAGTCTCTTTCATATTCCTTATTAGATTTTCAAAAAGATTTGGATTGTTTTCCTCTTTGTTTCAGTTTTACCATTTAAAGATGATTTTACCCCTTAGAGGGAACTCACTATTGATCTTTTAAGTTGACAAGCTTGAATTCTTAGTGACCATGGTCCCTCATGGCCACTATAGCGCTATCACTGGCTGAAACCAAATCAAAGAACACCATCCACGCAGTACATTCTCCTTTGTTTGGATAGAAGTGGGCTTTTCAAGGCTTTTCGTAAGATTACATTTCAGGGCAATTAGTCTGTAGACATTGATGGCAGATGGGTGAGATTTCTGTTTAGCACTGAAAAAGACTCTGTCTATATAAGCTGTGCTATATAGAATCCCCCTCCGTCAGCCTGCATCTGATTGCTAGAGACAAACAAGACTGTAAGACTAAGAAGGTCTATTTGTTTCTGTTGGAGGAGTTGTTTGTGAAAAGTACCCGGTCCATACTGGAGGTACAGAGTGAAAGTCTGCTTCAACTTGGTAGAACAAATCAGAATAATTCAGTCAGACCTTCTGGTCTCCCACTTAAGAGTTTTGCAGCTCCACCTGCAGGATGTTTGTTTTCACTCCACTGACATATTGGAATGAAAGAAGGCAAGGCAAAAGGAATTTCTTATGGATGTTCTTTAAGTGAAAATGATTTCAGCACAATAAACAATGCCAAACCTCATATGATTATCATTTCCAAAGACTGGTTCCAGTTTGTGTGTACATGTGTGCACACAGATCTGTCTCCTAATTAAAGTGTTTAGTGCATCAAGAAAAATATCCACAGCCTGCTGAGTAGCTGAAATTTTGAACAGACCTACAAAGAACACATCTTGCTATTCTATTATGTGTGCTGCAATCATCAAACTCTCTGTTTATTTATACTTTTGTACTGGAACTGAATTATTTTATATAGACACCAACTTGACATTTGGCATTGATAATAAATGGCAAGTTTAAAAATGTAAAATTTCCAACAAAAAATAAAAAATAAAAAAATAAAACAACGTTAGTTAATTATGAGGAAGACTGATAAAACGAGGAAAAATGCCCATTTGTTTTTAACATACTTAAATTTTACATTTATTTTCACTGCAGAACAGTTTTTCCACACTGTGTGTTTTAAATTAGTTAACGTATAGCATAAAGACAGCCAATTCTTACAGAAAATATATTTAGCTAATATTTCATTCAGGGTTAAATGCTGCATTTTTGTTGGACTGCTCTAACATAAATGCATTATCTTTTAAAAGGTTACTTAATCTTTATTGTGAATAAGAGTAATTTGGAAATGTGTTTCTTCTGCCTTCATTTGTTTTTAAAAAATGTATTAAAGTTTACTTATCTTCAATTTTGCCCTTTAAATAAAATAACTATATAATATTGCAAATAAAATTTAATTCCTTTGTTTTAACCATGCTTTCTTCTGTTAAATAGACAAAAATGTACAACCGTCCACATTTTTTATTGATATTTGCTTTCTTTGCCCTGTTTTAATTTCTTCTGTTTTTAATATTATAACTTATGGGTACTTCTAGTGCATGTATTCATACGCCTCCTACTTTTTGGTAAATTATATTTTCTACGTTTATGATGTTCGCTTATTTTTGGCCAGTTTTGTTTGAATAAGTTTTATTACTAACCATGGACACATATACGGGTTCTAACCTTTTATTTGTGATTCGCCACGTGTCGCAGACATTTGACGACAGTGGAAGCGGAAGTTTATCAAAGCGCATGCGTGCTGTCAACAGAGATCATTGTGAGTAGATTATCATATTAGAAAAGAAAATTCTTAACAGTTTACATGATTTTATCAACAAATAGTTTGTATTTTGCTCTCATCTGATAGTTTACATCCAGGCAGTGGTTCTTCCTGCTTCCGGTGAATCTCTGACGGGTGTTTTATTGGATCTACGAAGGTAAGCGTTAGCATGCTAACCAGTTAGCGGGAGGTTTATTTATTCCCGTAACTTTATCTGAAGGTCAGCTTTGCCTTTACCCGAAATTACTGAATGAAAAACTGTCTGACTAGACTAGGGGGTTAAACAAGAAAGAAACTTGATCATAATTATTATTTAGCTAGCTTGCTTGGGAAGCAAGACCACATTTCCCTCCATACATGTTCAGCTGTAGTTTATTACATCAATTTGTTTTCAAACAACCAAGCTTTCAATTTATTTTAAATGCTTGTCATGTTTTAAATAACGTTACAAGTTGGACTTTAAAATAGTTTTGCTCCAGCAAGGTGATCTTTTATTCATAAATCAATAGAAGAGTGGTGCGTTTTCAGGTCTTTTTTAGGTCTTTAAATCATGTAATCAAAGCTGTGATTATTTAAACAACTTTCCTTTTTTTCTGTTTCCAGTCAGCCTGGTTGTGCTTTGTCCTCCTCTCATTCCAGACTACAGAAATGGAGAAGGTAGGAGAGAAACAGGGAGAAGAGGACGGAGCAGCTCCAGCAGGAGGAGGAAGTGAGCTGGGGCAGAAGTCAGGCACGAAAAGGGTGCCAGAGAGAGGTGATGATGAGGAGGAGACACCACCCACCAAGAAACCAGTAGGCATATCAATAATTATAATGAAATAAAAAAGTGTGTCCCATGCTTGAACACATTATTGATGTGTTATTGATCCTCTAGGTGACTGATCACGGCGTGAAGGTTGCGAGTCACTACAACAAACTGCAGGAAGTTGGTCTGGAGGTCCGAAGTCAAAGCAGGATCTTCTACATGAGGAACTTTAACAACTGGGTGAAGAGTGTTCTTATTGGTAACTGATCACTAATTAATACTATTTGTTAATCCAACAATAATCCCTCTCATGTTTTCACCTGATACGATCAATCTGTCAATCGTCAACCAGCCTTCTGATGCTGCTGTGACCTTTTTCTTCCCATAAACTCATTTTTAGTTGCGTTAAGTTGAACATCTGTTAAAATCTGTTCATTGATTATCAGGTGAGATGCTGGAGCGGGTCCGAGGAGCGGGAAGCAGGAACGTGTCGGTGTTGGACCTCGGCTGTGGGAAAGGAGGAGACCTGCTGAAGTGGAGGAGAGGAGGAATAAATCGTCTTGTTTGTGCAGGTGGTTAAAAAAAATCACCCTTATTCTTTGTCAGGAAATAAGTTCAACTCCATTCCTAGAAACTTTGTGTAGCCTTGCTTTCTTTAATGTTTTGCGTCTGTGTTGTTTCCAGATATAGCCGGAGTGTCAGTGGAGCAGTGCCAGAGTCGCTACGAAGACATGAAGCGGAAAAGTTACAATAACGAGAAAATCTTTAGTGCTCAATTCATCACCGCAGACTGCTCCACGGTAACTCACTTGTGTTGGTTCTGTGATTAGAAAGAGGCTGAAACAAAGCTGGTGTTTCAGAACGGTGTGAATAATAATAAAATCGTTTTGTGGTGCAGGAGGTTTTGTCAGAGAAGCTGGATGACCCCCAGCTGATGTTCGACATCTGCAGCTGCCAGTTTGTGTATCACTACTCGTTTGAGAGCGAGCAGAAGGCAGACATGATGCTGAGGAACGCCTGCGAGCGTCTGAAGCCTGGGGGCTTTTTTATCGGAACAACGCCAGATGCATACGAGCTTGTGTAGGAACAAGGATTATATTTACACTTCCGTAAAAATAACCATTTAATCTTTATAGAGAACATATTCTAATTATTGCTTTTTGTGTTTTCAGGAAACGTCTGGAGGCGTCTGACTCGCTGACCTTTGGTAACGAGATCTTCAAAGTTTCCTTCCAGTCCAAAGGTTCCTACCCGCTGTTCGGATGTCAGTATCACTTCAACCTCGAGGGCGTGGTCGATGTGCCGGAGTTTCTTGTCTACTTTCCTGTTTTGGAACAGTAAGATTTGGTTTTTATTGCGAGCTTTTTAACAATAACAGAGTTCTTGATGGAATAATTAGCTGCAGGAAGTAAAAAGCACCTGTGTTTGTGTGTCAGCATGGCGAAGCGCTACAACATGCGTCTGGTTCTGAAACAGAGGTTTTCAGAGTTCTGTGAGGAGAAAGTGAAAAAGGAGCAACACCGCAACCTCATGATGAAGATGATGGCTCTGGAGGTAAAAACTGAAGCTTTAGGCCTAGTCCACACGTAGCCGGGTTTTATTAAAAACGAATAACCGCCCCTCCAAAAACTTGCATCCACACCACCTCGTTTTAAAAATAAACTCTGTCCACACGTCCCCGGATAAATACGTTGTTAAGGACATGCCAGACCTGTAGGCGGCAGTACTTCCCCCGTTCTTAACCTCGTCGTTCGTCTGTGGTCTTCCGCAAGGAGCAGTAATTCCGCTTGCAAAAACAAACAAGCAGAAAGCGCTTGGACCATTGATGGATCGGGTAGTGACAGAGCGCAGCTCTGAGGGCATCCATGCTGTCGGCTAGTGTAAACACAGGTCGCACACGTGATGTCAGCATTTTTTGTCGCGGAAAGTGACGTTGCGGACCTTAAAACTCCGGTTTTGTCTGTCCACATGCAGACACCCAAAACGGAGAAAACGCAGATCTTCACTTTGGCCAGAGTGTTTAAAAAGATCCGTTTTCGTGTGGATGACAGGCCAAAACGTAGAAAGATATCTACGTTTTGGCAGATCCGCGGCTACGTGTGGACAGGGCCTTAATGAGCTAAAACACCGACCTTTTCTATGTAATCTTTATAAAAATGACAAGTTGCATGTAATTTAAAGATAAATTAGTATTTAGTTCATTTTTGGACACATAATAGATTAATTAAACAACTGTTTTTGATATTTACAAAAACAATGCTATTAGATTGTGTCGGGTGATCTGTGTGAAATGGCGTTTTATTATTTTAACAAATTCTCCTTTTCTTACTTTGTTTTTATGTTTTTATTTACAATCTTTTGGGTCGACCTCTGAGCTGCAAAGGAAGGCCGATCTGGGTTTTCTAATAAATTTACAGTTTTTCTTTCATGTTTGTTTGATTTGGCTCCTGTTGATCCCGTAAAGGTGATGGTCTCAGAGCAACTTTTATTTGTTCTTTTTTTAAATATAATCAGTCACTCTGAGTTGAACACGCAGGCTAAATGCGTTAGCCGCAGATAGAGAAGAGACGGGGAAACGCTCAGGTTAGAAAATCCTGACAGATTTATGTAATGCTGAAAACTAGCGTTCATGGATCACTCATCTTGGCTCGTGAAGCGGAAGGCTTTGTTGGTTTAGCGTCCAGGAGAGAGCAGAGCACGCCTCGGCTAGTAGACGCTAACTGTCAGCATTAGCAACTCCGCAACACGGCAGTACTCCTTCAGGCTTGTGTCATTTGTAAAGATGAAACGTCAAAGCTGCAGAGGAAACGGAGTCAGTGGTGGAGTTGTGCTGCTGGTATCCAATCAGTGGTGAGATGTCCAAATATCAGGAAAACTAAATGAGTACTACTACAAATCCTGCCATTTTCTTCCCCCCCTGTCCTCCGGCTAACTCTACTTCCTGAAATAGGAGCGCCAGAGCTTTTTTTCCTATAGAGATGAACTCACAAGCCATTCACTCATTCATAGGGACCACTTTTAACGCCCTTTTTAAATGGTGTATGTAGCTGGCTGCGTGATCCTGTTGTAAACACGTGCTTTCTGAGTCGTTACATGATGAATATGTTGTGTTTTCAGCTGTTTCCCTGTGAGGTCGGAGGTCGACAGGCTTCAGAGAGCACTGAAGAGTACTCCCACGCTAAAGAACACTGTTGCAGAGCGGGACTGAGACAAGTGGTGGGTCTGCTGTAGCGATCCGATACGGTTGGGTTCATGGTTCTGTTAGTCTGATCGGGTTTTCTGTTTGCTTGTAGGGAACACTGAGCAGATCTGAATGGGAGGCAGCCAGTAAGTTTCTATTAAATTTAGTTTGTGTTTAGATTGATCCTCATATGCTTTGTTAAAGAGAAGAATCATAAAAGATGAATTAAACCCTTCTCTTGTCTCCTTGCAGGTATCTACCTGGTGTTTGTCTTCCAGAAGATGGCCTGATGCTTGAAAAACATAACAAAACTCCTCTTGAAGCTTACCTCACCTGTTTGTGTTTGTACAGTTTTTTTTTCCGTTGCCTTTTTTAGGATTTTTTTTATATAAACTATGATCTGCAGGCCTGTTGGAGAAATGTATTTAAACCACAAATTAAAACAGCTGTTTTTCATCCATATTGGCCTGTTTTGGCTATATTGTCCTATTAGGAGTTAGAATGCAGTGAAGGTGGGATTAATGGAACAAATGACATTTGGAGGTAATTGAGATGTAAGAAATGATCCTGTACAAGCTGTTTGACTTTGTCAGATTGTTGGGACTTTAGTTTCATAAATAAAACGATCTAATTCATAAAACATCAGATTAAGTATGTTATTACTTTAGTTTATTGCTCAATAATATTCAGTGTCATTCATTCTTTTTTACTTTTTAATATTTTAATCCTTTATTTTGGAGATAAAAACAAAAGGATAAAAGTTTTTTAAAGAAATCAAATAAAAAATTGCTAATGGCATATTTAGCGCTATATCCTATTAGCTTCCAAGCCAAGAAAAAAGGTGAATTTATGCATTTTGTATCCATTTTTCCCATTGTCCTTTTTTAGTCACAACAATCATATTAGGCACTGTAGAAAAAAAAGAAAATGCTGTTAATTTTAAATTGATTATATAAGTTTTTGTTAAACTGATAAAGAAATGACTAAATGGAAGAGCAACTAATATGACCCAACCATAACCTTATTACTGATTTTCTTTCTTTGGAGCTGAAAGGTTGAAAAACCATGATAACGCAGCGGAAGATGGAAAACACTTAACATAGTCTAAATAACAGGAAAGCCAGAACATATTCACTTCAACAAGTGACTTAACTAAAATGCTACTAAAATTCAATAAATCTATGTTAAATATCTGTGTTCAAGATAAAATCAGTGAGCTACAGCTAGAGCTAATAGCAGCTAGCTACTAAACATTTTTTAAAGCTTTATTAAGATAAGGAGGCTAAATATTCTCTTCTAAATGGCTAGAAATGAATTAAAGTGCAGTTACAGCTTTCAGACACTGGAGGGCCTCAACTCGCCTTCCTTTCGTTTGACCCAGAGTGTAATTCAGTTATTTTTACCAGCAGAGGGCGCAAATTCTCTTCTTTCAAGGGAACAAAACCATAGATATGTATATATAAACACTGTTTATATGGTGAATTTATGCATTTTGTATCCATTTTTCCCATTGTCTTTTTTTAGTCACAACAGTCATATTAGGTACTGTAATAAAAAATTAAAATGCTGTTAATTTTAAATTGATTATATAAGTTTTTGTTAGATTGATAAAGAAATGGCTAAATGGAAGAGCAACTAATATGACCCAACCATAACCTTATTACTGATTTTCTTTCTTTGGAGCTGAAAGGTTGAAAAACCATGATAACGCAGCGGAAGATGGAAAACACTTAACATAGTCTAAATAACAGGAAAGCCAGAACATATTCACTTCAACAAGTGACTTAACTAAAATGCTACTAAAATTCAATAAATCTATGTTAAATATCTGTGTTCAAGATAAAATCAGTGAGCTACAGCTAGAGCTAATAGCAGCTAGCTACTAAACATTTTTTAAAGCTTTATTAAGATAAGGAGGCTAAATATTCTCTTCTAAATGGCTAAAAATGAATTAAAGTGCAGTTACAGCTTTCAGACACTGGAGGGCCTCAACTCGCCTTCCTTTCGTTTGACCCAGAGTGTAATTCAGTTATTTTTACCAGCAGAGGGTGCAAATTCTCTTCTTTCAAGGGAACAAAACCATAGATATGTATATATAAACACTGTTTATATGGTGAATTTATGCATTTTGTATCCATTTTTCCCATTGTCTTTTTTTAGTCACAACAGTCATATTAGGTACTGTAATAAAAAATTAAAATGCTGTTAATTTTAAATTGATTATATAAGTTTTTGTTAGATTGATAAAGAAATGGCTAAATGGAAGAGCAACTAATATGACCCAACCATAACCTTATTACTGATTTTCTTTCTTTGGAGCTGAAAGGTTGAAAAACCATGATAACGCAGCGGAAGATGGAAAACACTTAACATAGTCTAAATAACAGGAAAGCCAGAACACATTCACTTCTGCAAGTGACTTAACTAAAATGCTACTAAAATTCGACATAGTCTCATATTTTTCCCATTGTCCTTTTTGGTCAAAAGTCTTAACTTTTATAATTCGATTACTTTGTCTCCTTCTACTCCTTAATAATAATGTTCCTAAAAGGATTTAAAGAAAGATAAAAAAATGTAAGCTTCATTGTGATAAATAGGCTAAAATATTCTCTACAAGAAAAACAAAACTAAAGTGTAGCACAACTTTTTCTATTCAGTAATTCTTGTAAGTTTACTTAGACAAAGAACGATCAGTAAAATTAGTAGAATTGCATTCCAACTTATTTACTGGTTACTTACTTTATACATTTTGAATTTAATATCTGACATAGTGTTTGTAAGAATTTAGAGGAGGTGTTTCTACTAAGGAAATCTTAACTTTATAAATCCAGTTCCTTCTTCTGCTACTCCTCTTTAATATTAATATTTCTAAAAGGATTAAAAGAAACATTAAGATTTTTTTAAAGCTTCATTAAGATAAGGAGGCTAAAATATTATTTTGTAATAGTCTAAAATGAAGATAAGTGCAGTTACAGCTTTAAGACACTGGAGGGCAGCAACTCCCCTTCTTCCCCTCATTTACAAATGCTGTTGGTTGGAACCCAGAGTGTCATTATGTTTTTTGCCAGCAGAGGGGGCAAACATGCCATTTTCAAAGTGTTTGGAAGACTTTAGAGGAAGTGTTTCTACTAAGGAAATATTTTAATTTTATAAATCCAGTTCCTTCTTCTCCTCCTCCTCTTTAATATTAATATTTCTAAAAGGATTCGGAAAAGGGTAGAATGCTTCTCCGGGTCAGGGATGAGGTCCTGCCCCAAGTGGAGGAGTTTAAGTATCTCGGGGTCTTGTTCACGAGTGAGGGAAAACTGGAGCGTGAGATCGATGGGCAGATTGGTGCTGCATCTGCAGTGATACGGGCGTTGTACCGGTCTGTCGTGCTGAAGAGAGAGCCGAGTCAGAAGGCGAAGCTCTCGATTTACCGGTCGATCTACGATCCTACCCTCACCTATGGTCATGAGCTTTGGGTAGTGACCGAAAGAACGAGATCGCGGATACAAGCGGCCGAAATGAGTTTTCTCCGAAGAGTGGCTGGGCTCTCTCTTAGAGATAGGGTGAGAAGCTTGGTCATTTGGGAGGGGCTCAGAGTAGACCCGCTGCTCCTCTATATCAAGAGGAGCCAGTTGAGGTGGCTCGGGCATCTGGTCAGGATGCCTCCTGGACGCCTCCCTGGTGAGGTTTTCCGGGCACGTCCAACCGGGAGGAGACCTAAAGGTAGACCCAGGACCTGGTGGAGGGACTATTTCTCTCACCTGGCCAGGGAACGCCTTGGGATTCCCCCGGAGGAGCTGGCCCAAGTGGCTGGGGAGAGGGAAGTCTGGGCTTCTCGCCTTAGGCTACTGTCCCCGCGACCCGACTCTGGATAAGTGTATGAAAATGGATGGATGGATTAAAAGAAACATTAAGATTTGTTTAAAGCTTCATTAAGATAAAGAGGCTAAAATATTATTTTGTAATAGGCTAAAATGAAGATAAATGCAGCTACAGCTTTAAGACACTGGAGGGCAGCAACTCCCCTTCTCATTTCTAAATGCTGGTGGTTGGAACCAGAGTGTCATTATTTTTTTTGCCAGCAGATATACCATTTTCAAAGTATTTGGAAGACTTTAGAGGAAGTGTTTCTACTGAGGAAGTCTTTTAACTTCATAAATCCCGTTCCTCCTTCTGTTGTTTCCTAATAATATTCCTCAAATGATTTAATGAAAAATGAGGAGTTTTTGAAAGGTTCAATGAGATGAGGAGGCTAAATTAATCTCTACTAAATAAATAAAAAGAACAAAAGTGTAACTCTAGTAAGGTTTTTTTTAGACAAACAACGATCAGTAAAAAAATTGCATTTCTATTTGGTTACTGGTTACTTACTTTACACATATTTTTTAATTAATTTCTTTCAATCTGACAGTGGAACTATTTAGAGGAAGTATTTTCTAATAATAAAGTCTTATAACTTTATAAATCCAGTTTCTTCCTCTCCTTCTACTTCTCCTTCTTAATAATAATATTCCTAACATTATTAAAAGAAAGATTAATTTTTTTAAATATTCATTAAAAATAAATAGGCTAAAATAAATGATCTTTTAAAAGGCTAAAATGAACAAAAGTGTAGTACCACCTATCAGACACTAGAGAGCAGCAACTCTTCCTTTCCTTTCTTAATGCTGTTAAAACCGAGTGTGTCGTTCTGTTTGTGGCCAGCAGAGGGCGCAAATTCCTTATTCTTTCAAGGAAATGTTAGTGTTGGTAGAGTTTACAGGAAGTACTTCTAACAAATATCCATTTTAACTTTATAAATCCATTTCCTTCCTTCCAGCACTTCCTGATGATTCCTTCAAAAGAAATGGTACAACTTAAAATTACTGCTGGTTTTAAATTAATGTTAATATTTTAATGAATATTTAAACATTTCTTCACCTCCTGAAATTTTGTTTAGTCAATTGGTTATTTTAACAGCTATTTGGAATTAACAGGATTTTATTGGGATTACTAACCAGTTTTTCCACAAATCTCTGAGAATAATAGCAGGTCCAAGTCCTCACATGGGGACACAGGCTTTCAGGAAGTTGGGATTCTCTGAAATTGTAAATAAATACAACAAATTTAGAGATTTTCTGGAATTTAACTTTTAAAACATCATATTCTGGGATTATTATTCCCATTTTCACTCATTTTGTCTAAATAAAGATATTTGGTGCAGTAAAGACTAGAAATATCTTGTTATGGTTAAAGACATGGAAGACATTTTTAATCGTTGGCTTTACAAGACTGGATGAAGCATCTTGGAATGATCAGGAATGTTTCCTTTGATGCTAAAATTACAGAAGGAAGCCAATCAGATGATTTTATGGTCTATTTCCTGTAACTGAGTTCAGATAACAAAAAAATGCTCCAGAGCTGTCACCAAACTACAAAACTATTGTACGATTGTTCCTGTGCTTTTATTTTGTTAATCTCAAACCTGAAATCTTATTCGGCCTTGGTGGAGGAGCTTCGTTCCTCCTGTCCTGTCCTACGATCAGGAAAATTCAGACGCCTAACAGCTGCTGTGTGCAAAAACGTGTTCCAGCTTCTATTTATAAACCGGCTCCATCTGTAAACAGGGATGAAAGATATGAAACACGTCATAGGTTTAAACTATATAACATCTCCTTCATAAGGCATGGCTACGAAACAGACAGAAGTTAGATCTACTAAATATCACCCATATATTCAACTTTTACACTCATTTTCAGAATATCTGATTTTTTTCTGCTTTATAAATCGTTCAGAAATAAAAAGACTCCAAAACTCAAGAGCTGAACTGCTGTTGCATCAACATTGAGCTTTTTAGAGCCCGAAATATGAAATGATATTAAAAAACAAACGAAAAAAACTATTTAATGGTTGATCTTAATGTAACAATATGAAAATCGGTTTCATTATGTAATAATAAAAACAATCAGAGTGATACAGAAATAAAATTGGCCCTCACCACCTGCAGATCCTCCACCAGAGGGCAGCAGACATTTATAGAACTGAACATGGCAAGTTTTATGATGAGAGTACTAATCTTAATACTCCATCTGCTTTAAAGCCTAAACAAGTTTGATCTAAATTTATGACAAAAGTCCATCAGTTGTCTTTTTCATCATCCATGAATACACTTGCAACATATGGAACTAAGTACGATAAAAGATATAATAACTCATCTTTTTAGTTTCAACAATTTCTCATTTTAGGAGAGGTGATGACCGAGTGGACGACGTGGGAAGAAAAACAAACGTAGAAATAACCTCAGTAAGTAAAATACTAAAAGAAACTTTTTAGAAAAACAATGTAGAAATAAAAAAAATGTTATTGTAATTTTTGCACAATCAACATTTAGAATAAACCCTGTTTAGAGGATCATATAGTGTGTGTTTGATGTGTGTGTGTGTGTGTGTGTGTGTGTGTGTGTGTGTGTGTGTGTGTGTGTGTGTGTGTGTGTGTGTGTGTGTGTGTGTGTGTGTGTGTGTTGACCTGCTCCTATATCTGCTGCCCAGCTAACTACAAGCCCAGCTGATCTGTGATGAAACACGAGTGTGTCGGGGTCATCAGTGTCAGGGAAAGACGATCAGGTCTGGAGCCTGAGAGGACTCGAATACTTTCCACCACCGTGTTACAGCTTCCTGTCTCTAATTTATGAGCTGAAGCTGCGAGGGTGAGGTTAAAAGCAACAGAGAAGATATTTTATTTTGTAGGATTTTCATAGAGAAATATGTCTGATAAGCAGGCGGTCCGAGCTTCTGACAGGAAACCATCCAGCAATAAGAACATAAAGAAGCTCCGCACTCTGAGCGTGGTGTGCAACCTGACAAGCAGCTGGCAGCAGTGGGTGACTGACAATGAGAAGAAACAAGCCAGCGAGCCTAGCGGCTGGGCTCCCTCATCCCTCGGAGGAGAAACAGAAAAACCCTTCAAGAAATGGGTCCCTAAAAAAACTCCTCAACCTTCTTCTAAAAGCCCCTCAGAGGCTCAAACATCTCAAACATCCATCGCTGAGCAGGTTGGGACTTCAGATGAGGTTCTGCCATCGTCTTGCATCAGAACAAAGCAGGTGGTGAAGACCGTGACCAGCAGCGTTCAGGAGAAGAGTGCAGGCGTCGGCCTCCTGACTGAGAAGATAAAGAAGGAGTCTCTTCCATCAAGCGAGGAAGTCGACCAACTGCTGCGGAAGAAAAGCTCCCCCACACGACGCAGGAAGTGCTCCAACATGGTGTCCTCTCTCACTAAAAGCTGGAAGCAGGTGGAGCAGGGGAGGACGCTCAAAGAAGGAGGAGAAGGACATGACTATGGAGAAGATAAAGGAGAGGAGGAATCCGGTACACAAGATGCTCTGATAGAGAAGATTTCAACACCAGAAGAGTCTAAACCTACCCGTGACACTGTGAGGATAAAGAGACCCCAAGCTTCAACGTGAGTGTTGTCACTTAGTTGTGATTGTTAAAAGAGGTTCAAACACACACCAGTGTTAATCTGCAGAAAGGAGGGTTTCAACCACACGGGCAGAAAGCCAGGATTTGCTTCGTGATGAAGGTTTCCAGGAAGTAAGAAACTTTCACAAAAGATTTAATAACATCCTCCACGGCAGCCTAAGAATCTCATCAGGTCACATCAGCAGAAAAGCTCCAAACAGCCCACTCAGAAATGCCGCATTAACTCTCCTGCACATCTGCAGGAACACTCTCGGATCGTCCAGACCCAGGATGTCAGCAGAAAAGTCAGGTGCAAACATCGTTAAGGCTTCGGTTACTGCAGTCCCACTGGGGCAGCGTCGATTTGGGGCTGGAGTGAACGCTAAAGCAGTCAGATGTGTGAAACAAGATGTCCCAAACTCCATTTCTTAGTAAAGAATTAATCATGAGGTGGAACCAAACTTATTGGTTCAGGCAAGGCAGCTAAACTAAGTATGTTAATATTCAGTATGGGTGAATCTGAGTGTGGTTAGGAGCCCCTAAGAGCGGCCCAGACTGTCTCAAAGTAGTACGAAAAGAGAAACTCAGTTAGTAATAGGCCATTAAAATCAGGGCCGGCACAAGCCTTTGTGGGGCCCTGAGCAGGTTTTCCTTTAGGGCCCCCATACCAGCAAGCAGCATTGTGCCTGAATGAGTTTATTGAGGAATCATTCGTGAACTTCTTAGGTGTGTTCTTGCTGTGTCGTGGTTCTAATTCCATGCTTTCGTTCTTTTTAAACACAGAAACAGTTTTGTTTACCTGTTTTGTAGCTACAGCTTCGCCGACGGATCAGCGTCAGCCTGAAGAAGCCGGCAGCCGTCGGCGAAACTGTAGCTACAAAACAGGTAAACAAAACTGTTTCTGTGTTTAAAAAGAACGAAAGCATGGAATTCGTGAACTTGTTCATATTTGTTGTGAACATGAATTACATTCGCTTGTATTTTGCCTTATGACTCGCCTTATTCTGGCGTTTTTGAACGGGTTTATGAACAGCACTTTCGCAGTTCGAGAGCTCCAATCTTCCATGGAGCTAAAACCGCAGCTAAAAATATCCCATTAACCATACCCATTATGAAGTGTTTTCTGTTCCCTTAGTGCTCTTGGGGGGGCCCCTGGTGGTACGGGGCCCCAAGCAGTTGCTTAACTCGCATATGTCTAGGACCGGCTCTGAATAAAACAGATTTGTTAAAGATCGTTATCTAAGCCTTTGTATCTAAGGGTTTATGTTGGGTTATTTTTATTAAAACCAGGTTACCTTAAGAGAAGTCAAACGCACAGAGGATTAGAACAATATTATTGTTCATTTTATTTTGCAAAGTGGAGAGACGAAATGAATACACACCCAAGCATGGTTCACAGGATCTCTCAGGGAACATCCGTTCTCTGAGGGTTTTTATTAGCAAGCGCACACAACACATCACATCACATTCCTAAACTGCTCCGTAGAGATTCAGGTGGAAAGCTGTTTAACGTAGGGAGTAAAAACAATGCCACAACTCCCTCATACAAAACCAGGTGCATTCAGTCAACATGCTGTTTCCCGTGGGAGCATAACTGATAACACTGACCAGCGTGGTCTGAGGAAGGTCGTTGTCCTCCCTGTTGAGACGGGAAGACTGGCACAGGATAATAGTTGCATTTTAATGAAGCAACAGGTGTTTTACTTATAAGGCAGCTATGATTTTAAGCAGTAATGTCAGCGAAAATCGATTTTTCTCTATCATTCCTCCCTGTAAATGCTAGTTTATCCCACATAACTGACAGCTTAATAAAAACAGTAACAACAATAAAAGGTTGAGATAGTTGATCCTTTTCCAGCGTCTCTTCTTCGCTGTGACCTGTTGTAGTTGTGTCCAAGTGGTCTTCAGCTGAGGTGGATGCAGGTTACGTTGTCCTGTAGGTGGGCCCAGGGGGAGCCCCAATCTGTCATTTCAGTTCCGGTTCTAGTACCCCCTCAAATATTGCTGTCTCAGTGGTTCCATCAGGTGCTGAGAGACGGCCCAAGTGCAGGGCCATGAGTACGACCACAAACATCAACAATGTGGTGAACCCAGCAAGCTCGAAGCAGTTCTTTATCTTATCTTGATCTTATCTTCACCGGGTTTGAGAGACGGCACCCTAGTGGTGGCCCACCCCTTTGTAGCCCGGACTTTGTTGTCGCCCTAGTGGCTGTTGGTTGATAAGCTTGCAATGGGATCGATGAATCCAAGATGGCCTCTCAGCAATCTTCACAGCAGTGGGAGTAATGAGGAGTACTTTGAATGGACCTCTGACTGCCCCATCTGTTTCGCTTCAGCACCTTCATCAGAACCCAATTTCCTGGTTTCACGACCTGTGGCGAAAAAGCACAGGAAAATTCTGGGAGATCACTGTTGATTTAGAATTGTTTTCAGCAACAATCATTTACTATTTAAGGTAATTCCATCCAGGTAGTGTAGTAATGTGAGGAAATTGTTATCAGCCTCCCCTCCTCTTGAGGCATGAGGCAACTCAGGGCTCACCAGAAACAAAACATAAACAAAAGGGTCCGGTACTGGCAAGCTTTTTTTTTTATAGCACATAAACATCTTTCCCGGTTTCACCCTTGCTTTCCTTTTCTCTGTCCTTTCTCTTCTGAATGCCTGCTCGCCTTTTTTGTCTCATCCAGCCATAACATTGCCACTCTTAATTGCTCCTCTTTCTTCTCCCTGTGGCTGCCGCAGCTTTGACCTTATAGGCACAGACTAAATCATTCCATTGTTGACCTTTTAGTTTGCCGTCAACTTTGTACTTTTTGTGCCATTTTTCCATAAACTTTAAACTGTCTGGATGTTTACGATACATAAATTTCAAGTCCCCCTCCAGCTTATCAACTGACACTGCGTTGCCCATTTTATTTATAAAGTTGCGTTCACTGGTTTAGTGAAGAAAGCTAGCCTAGTGAACTAGACCAAATTCTTGCTTTGCAAAGAATGGTCTAGGCATGCTCCATTGGAACCTCAGCAGCTCCTACCAGGACTCTGGCTAGCCAATCACAGCTCTCTAGAGGGGTTTCAAACACATAAAGAGCTGTGATTGGTCCATAATGGTGGGCCAATCATAGTGCTCTATCTGCTTAGTGAACAAATCACAGAGCTATATCCGCTTTGTGGGCCAATCAGGGCACTCTATATGCCTGGTGGGTGGGATGATGCAACAGAGTGAAACAAGAGTATGTCACATTCATTGTCCAGTGAAATGCGGAGATCATTTGAAAGACAACGGTAGAACCCGCCCCACAACCGAGAGCCGTCAATGGAGCATGGCCAGACTAAATAATACATTTATTTAGTCTGGCTTGCCAGGCTAGAAGAAAGCTGGAAGGACACCGGTAAACTCTAAAATGAACAGTATTAAAAATAGAATCAGGCTGGTAGACCTGAATGGTACACACACACACACACACACACACACACACACACACACACACACACACACACACACACACACACACACACACACACACACACACACACGCACAGACTGAGCTCCCACACACAGAAACCAGACAGAGTCCACGGCCGGACAACACACAAACTTGACCACAATGAGACAAATACAAAACCAATGGCTTAATCACAATCAACAGCTTGATCACAATGAACAAAACCACCAAACCATGAACCACACGCTTCTACAGACCATGAATAGTAGAGGGTCTATTTTGGATTTGGTATTTTCGTTATTAAACGCTTTCATTTAGAATTTGATTTCCTTCATTTGAGCCAAATATAGCGGTGATCGTATTTTACTTTAGTACCTCCGCAGCACCTTAAAATGTTTAATAATCAAAGCGACAGTGTGATTTCTGTACTCTGCCAATACAGCGGTTGCCAGCCCTGTGTTGCGCGTATATTGGCCACTTAGCGCGGCTGGTTATTTTTTTATTCTGCTACTGCCGAATTAGTGCCCAATTTTAGTGCGGCTGGCCACTTCTGGCTGGCGGCTCTGTCTTCCTTTTTGTTTTTATTTTCTTCTGTTCTGCTATTCTGTATTTTTACCACCGAGCTGGTGTGCTTTATAATCCCAGAAGTAGGACTGAATAACGCAATTCAGCCTCGTTTACAACCCGTTCCGCGCGACAACCGATACCGTTCGTTTTATTTCACATTTATTTCAGACGGCATTAGACCGGAACCATCTCAATAACTGACCTTCCATGTTGGGGCTTAAAGCGTCCTTTAAGCCTGAATAGCAGAACAAAAGCACACTGCCAATAGCTTTTTATGAAAAGGTGCGTATCAAAAAGGTACTTACTACCCCCTGTGCGTTTGGGTCACCCCGAATCTGAATGCACGAGAGCTGTTGGCGGAAGACGTTCTGTAGAGCTAGAACAGCCGGCCAGCGGAGCAAGTCAGCCCCCTAGGCTTTGGTGAAAGCGGTGCGCCACGTCGGTCCCCCGGAGAAAGCCTCCCACGGCTGGCTCTGAGCGCACGGTCACGGCACCAAAAATGTTGGGTTATTTTTATTAAAACCAGGTTACCTTAAGAGAAGTCAAATGCACAGAGGATTAGAGCAATATTATTGTTCACTTTACTTTGCAAAGTGGAGAGACGAAATGAATACACACCCAAGCATGGTTCACAGGATCTCTCAGGGAACATCCGTTCTCTGAGGGTATTTATTAGCAAGCACACACAACACATCACATCACATTCCTAAACTGCTTCGTAGAGATTCAGGTGGAAAACTGTTTAATGTAGGGAGTAAAAACAATGCCACAACTCCCTCATACAAAACCAGGTGCATTCAGTCAACATGCTGTTTCCCGTGGGAGCATAACTGATAACACTGGCCAGCGTGGTCTGAGGAAGGTCGCTGTCCTCCCTGTTGAGACGGGAATACTGGCACAGGATAATAGTTGCATTTTAATGAAGCAACAGGTGTTTTACTTATAAGGCAGCTATGATTTTAAGCAGTAATGTCAGCGATCTAGATCTAAATCTCTGTTGAAATTTTAACATGCCAAAGCTCTGATATTCCTCATCCATTCTGGCAAAACTCCGCAAATTTACCAAGAAAAGTGGGAGAAAACCCCTGAAGAAGGCTGAGAAACATTTTTAAAACGGCTTGAGACAAAAAGAGCTAAAGATGTTTAACAAAACACTAATTGAAGGCCTGTCGGCAGAGTATCTATGGAAGTAGCTCCTGGATTTTCAAGTAATTAACTTGTGAAATCTGGGATTTAATCTGTCGTTCACAGATACAGAAAAGAAGCTGAAGATGCCAACAAAATCAACGCTCTCTCCAAGACATACAGCACCGTGGGAAACCTCAAGAGCCGTTGGCAGAACTGGGCCGTAGAGCACACGGTGAACCAGAAACTGAACCCCTTCAGCGAATACTTCGACTACGACTATTCCATGTCACTCCGTCTCCAGAAAGGCCAAGAGGGCTACGGACGCCCCAAAGAAGGGACCAAGACAGCAGAGAGGGCCAAACGAGCCGAGCAACACATCCTCCGTGAGATAGACGACATGTGCTACGTTATCAGGACTATGGCTGATCCGGACCTCGACGGAAAAACCCGTGTCACTTTTGGGGAGCTTTTTGACAGATATGTCCGGATCTCGGACAAGGTTGTTGGGATTTTGATGAGAGCGAGGAAGCACGGGAAGCTGGAGTTTGGAGGGGAAATGCTGTGGCAAGGCCAGGATGATGGAGTGATCATTACTCTGCTGGTGTGAGATAAAAAACAGAGTGGATGAAGTCACCTGGATCACCCTGAACAACAAGCTTGCTGCCTTTTTTAGTAAACTGATTCATGCATAACAAAAAAATAATAATTCTTCAATTTAAAGACTAAGTTCACTGAGAAACCATTTTGTTATTTTTGAAATATGATCAGTCACTTTGAGTCTCACAAGCAGGCTAAATGTGAAACAGTCTCCTACCTCTATCACCTGCATTAGCGGCTGATAGAAAACAGACGGGGAAATGCTCGAAGTACAAAGTCGCTTCGATTTTTACGTCTTAATGGTGAAATCAGCATTCATGGATTTGTATGTTGTGGATTTAGCGTCCAGGAGAGAGCAGAGCACGTCTTGGCTAGTAGAAGCTAACCGTTAGCATTAGCAACTCCCCAGCTTGGCAGAACTCCTTCAGGCTTGTGTTGTTTGTGTAGATAAAACATCAGCATTGCAGCGTGAATAGTCAGTGATAGAGTCGCATTGCTGTTAGCCAATCACAGGCAAGATGTCCGAATATCAGGAAATGAGACTCCAAATCCTTCGGTCTTCTGCTCACCTCTCCTCTGACTCACTTCTAGTTCCTGACACAGGAGCACTAGAGCCTTTTTCCCACTGAGATCAACTCACAGGGATTTATTTATACTAGAGATCACTGCAAATGTGTTGAAAAAATTAGTGAACTTGGTCTTTTAAAAAGTAAAAGTCATTGAAATGTTGTTATCACCTGAGTTTGTGTTAATGTAGCAGATAACTGAGGCTTTGCAGGGTATCGCCGCTGTATTCAACACATGGATTGAGTTTCATCCTTCATGCAGTTTAGCAAGTAGCTCAGCCTGCAGCAGCAGGTACAATAACACAGAGAAAAGATGGAAGCACTTAGGAAAATCACGGGCTGAGACAGTTACATTTACACAGTTAATGAGAAAAAATGTAAATTTGGGTCATGTTCTTGAGTAAAAGTTACAAATCCCTTCAACAGCTTTGTTAACTACTTCAGTTAAGAGAAACAGAGTTTATCATTTAGGACTGAGAGCTAAGAAAAGCCGCCCAAAGAGGCATCTTGGAATATTTCATAGCCAGTCGATTTGATTCTTGAGTGTTTTTCTTTTCCTTTCCCTACTGGTGTTCCCTGTGAGGGCACCGGTCTCTCACTCACAGCTACATTCACTCAGCCTAAAGCTTACCGGATCAGCTGGACAGCTACTTCAGTCCCAAATCCTCCTTGAACATGCATTTGTATCACCAAGTAACTTCTGCTCTAAAAGGTATTTCTCTGGTATCTGTGCCTTGTCATCATCCAAACTCATGTCAACATTTAACAGACTTAAAGAAGAATCACAATTTAAAAAATACTTTTATAATCCCACATCTGTTTCATTCATTTATCTTTTGTCTCTGCAGATCACTCCCATTATTCCCTTTTTTCTGGCTGTGGGATCCAGAGGTAGATCTTCTTACAGCATCAAAGTCGAAAGCAGATCGACCAAAACTACATTTATAGGTGAATTTATCAACCGTGTACAACTTTAAAATAACCACAATGGTGCCGGCTGTCTGGTTTTACTCAGTGTTTATAAAGCACCATAGTTTAAACGATCGGTTAACTTTAGTTAAAACTTATGATCTGGGAGCAAAATGATATGAGAGGTGCTTTTTATACTGCAGCCAACTACAAGGTGGCACCTCTTCTCAGTGTTCTCAGAGTTCTGTGTCCTTCATAAATAAACTTTCTTTTTGCGTTGTGGATATTTCATGCAAAATATTTAGAAAAAACATGTGAATTGAAACTTTTTCTTCTAGAGAAGACAAGTGATCCTGTTTTGCATCCCATTTGGAAGTATACTGAGGAAACAGACATCCGTGGGGATCTTTAGGTCATGCCACAGCTCATAAACTGGCTTTATGATTGTTTCAAAAAGGGTTGAAGACGTTGTTTTGCAAGGCTGAATCTTTTAAACAAATCTGGATAAATTGCATTTGGCTAAAAAAGCAGGAAAATTTTAACTTCTCTGCAGAGTATGATAAACCACAGCCCACCACTAGGGGACAGTTCTGCATTTGCTGGTGATGCTAAATTCTCCAAAACCACAATGTCAATAAAACAATTCACAGATGTTGTGTTAGTAAATAATGTGTTTGGTTATGTAAATAGCTTTAAGAGCTTACTATATTTATTAACTCAACTTGTGACCAATAAGCTGTGATACTCTATCTAAATAGAGAATATCACCTTGCCTGGTCTTTATGGTGCTTTAATCAGAAGATCTAGGATTCTTTATTCATTAGGGCAGTGGTTCCCAACCTTTTTCCCAAGGGACCCCGTTTTTTACCAGTAAAATTTTTGACGACCCCCTCCCATTCTCTCTTCCAGTACAAACATTATTAAGAAATGATAAAATTGTTCAAGCACATTTTAATATGCTTTGATTCAATAGATAACAGTAATAGTAGGCTCCAGTACAGAACAAAGTCATTAACAAAACCAAACAGAGCATAATGTGCTTGACAGTTTGTATTACTTTTCTGAACACAGTTTCTTGATAAATCAATCATTCCTTTCAAAAAAAGTTTGACACATAAAAAATACACCGAGCAAAATGTACTTAAATGTGTATATTACTGTTTATACTAGATTATTTACCATAACCGCTGTGATTAATCAACCAATCCTATCTTTAATGAACTTTTGACACTTGAAAATAAAACAGTGAGCTGAGTTAAATGTTCTTAAAAATGTGTTACATTTTCTGTACTAATTATTTCCTGTCTTAATATCAGTAAACTTTTCACTCATGAAAAAAAATGTGAGCAAAATGTAGGCTATAAACAAGTAATAAATGAAGTTTTAACCCCTTGGTGATGGCGACCCACTGAGAGGTTTTGGCGCCCCCTTGTGGGGGTCGGGACCCCTAGGTTAGGAACCACTGCATTTGGGGATTGTACACACTTCGTTTTGATTCAAGAAACAGTCAGGTTTGTAAAAGTAAGAATTTCTTTTACAAGCAATTAAAACTTGACAAATTAACTAAGCATTTACTGTGAGTGGATGGAACTAAAGTGGTGTCTGGAACTTATGCGTAAATATAATGTAGTCAGAACGTCCGTATCTCAGAGAGCTGAGTTCTGGACGTAAAAGAATTTGGTTTGCGTTAAGCTATGAATAGATTATTATCAAAACCACATCCAGACGCAATCTCACTGTGTTCTACGTACCCGAGCGGAGATGCCCCTTTGGATCTGAGATGTCAGGAGGGGGTCGGAGACCCCGGTACTGAAGTCCGTAGACTAACTTCCGGTACAACCAGGTCAGTCCAGGGTCATCTTCCAGGTAACGACAGTTGGAACTAGTTTGCGTCTCAGGAATAACTCTTAAGGAGTTGAACAAATCAGCTTGTTCTGCAGGACTATCTTGTTGTATCAGCTTCACAGGTGCATAAAAGGTTTTAAAGGTTTTGACGACGTGTCAAAGTCTTTGCTGGTTAAAGAGGTTTTGCTGCAGATGGCCGGTCTGAAGCTTTTCTCTAGAACTCTCGAACTTTCGAACTGAACAAACTGAAGAAAAACCACAGTGATCTAGTTTTAATGGAACGATGTTATGATTAAATAGCCGACCAAAAGTCGACTAGTTTGAGGAATATTACCAAGAATCTCAGAGACACACGCCTACTTTGATTCGGAGGCTCTGATCCGGGTAAAAGGTTAATTTTGTGTCATGCGTTTAACTTAACTTTACTTTGTCCTTGTCGTCATCGTCTTCGTCTTCCTCCGCTTATCCGGGTTCGGGTCGCGGGGGCAGCATCCCAACTAGGGAGCTCCAGACCGTCCTCTCCCCGGCCACCTCCACCAGCTCCTCCGGCAGGACCCCAAGGCGTTCCCGGACCAGATTGGAGATGTAACCTCTCCAACGTGTCCTGGGTCGACCCGGGGGCCTCCTGCCGGCAGGACATGCCCGAAACACCTACTCGGGGAGGCGTCCAGGAGGCATCCTGACCAGATGCCCAAACCACCTCAAGTGACTCCTTTCGATCCGGAGGAGCAGCGGTTCTACTCCGAGTCCCTCCCGAATGTCTGAGCTCCTCACCCTATCTCTAAGGCTGAGCCCGGCCACCCTACGGAGGAAACTCAATTCGGCCGCTTGTATCTGCAATCTCGTTCTTTCGGTCATTACCCAAAGCTCATGACCATAGGTGAGGATTGGGACGTTGATCGACCGGTAAATCGAGAGCCTGGCTTTCTGGCTCAGCTCCCTCTTCACCACGACAGATCGGCTCAGCGTCCGCATCACTGCAGACGCCGAACCAATCCGCCTGTCGATCTCCCGATCCCTCCTACCCTCACTCGTGAACAAGACTCCGAGATACTTAAACTCCTCCACTTGAGGTAGGACCTCTCTCCCGACCCGGAGTTGGCAAGCCACCCTTTCCCGGTCCTTGTGTGAGTGCAAATGGTGATGACCTCTTCAAGTAAACATGCTAAACAATCATTACGCACAGATTAATGAAACATTTCATTATTTTATAATTATTATAAGTGGCAATAAACAAACTTTTATTTAATGATTATCTCTTGTAAATTTTAGAAGTTCAAATTTAATTTTAAAAATCATTCTTGAATTTAGCGACTGATTCGAGCTGGAGTTGTTTCTTCTGTGGAGGCAGACAGATGGGACCTTGGCAAAGAAAGTTATTGTTTATCTTTTCAATCTCTGTCAGAGCTGCAGGCTCTGACTCCAGCTGGTGAGGAAGGCAGGCTGATTTAAAGGGACTACGTGCAATGTTGTGTCTCCTTTCTGACCAGATGTTGAATAGATGTTGAAAGGCCAGACTGTACCTAAACTGACCATTGACACTGACATTACACAGAGCTTTGAATAAGTAAATATTTAATATTTGTCTTGTTGAAAATATGTTACCTTTTCTATTCTATGCCATTAAGATGAATAAAAACAAATATTTTGGGGATAGATCAGAGGATTGGAGGAAGAATGAGGAAGAAAACAACAGAACAGACTAAAGACAGTATCTAAAAGAGATGTGCAGGAAAGCTGAGAAACAACCGAATGTGTGGGAAAGAAATGTGCTTCCTCATACTCTCACATAGATTATCTTTTCATCACTCCAACAGCCACCCTGTGTCCCAGTCCGTCTCACTGGGTCAGCCGGGCCTGGACAAAGAAGAAAGGACTCTTGTCACATTTTTATAAATTTGTTCGCCGCTTGTAACGCCTGCGATGTCTGCCTTTTGTAGACGAAGCGTTAAACGTTTCCCTCAGTGCTCACTCGTTTTTAGCTCAGATCATCACTCATCACTAATATTAGCCCACGGAGAGCTAAAAATAAACATCACTCAATTAAAACAAGGGAACAGAAGTGTTGGGCCTTTCCTGAAACAACTGATACTCTGAAGATGTTGTTTATGGGAGAGACTGGATGAATGATATGAAGCTCTGGTATGTAGCCCTTCAGCCATGTGGTTGCTCATCCTGTTTACCGACTGCTGGAATGCTCTGGTGATCCCTGCTGCTTGTAGCATGCCAAAGCAAACCGACAAGCTCTGATTTAAACACCCGACATTTATTCTAGAGCTCTTCTGTAAAAAGCTACTGTGAATGCACCCCTGAAAGGTAAAATTACATTGAGAAAAGTAAATGTCTAAAGATGATTAAAGTCAAGATGTAGCTAGTGTCTCAGTCAGAAGTAAACATAATGATCAGGCCTGGGAAACTGTAGACTGATGATTGTTTTTGCTGCTATCCGCCCCTGAACCAGAGTGCATTCAGCTCCCACAGACACAGAAACCTGTTAAAGTTTGTGATTACTGTGGTTTATTTATCATTATGGTGGCTGCATGTACAAATCCCAGGTGAAGTGTGGTGAGAGTGTATTTATGATTTGGTCATCAGGAAACAAGAATGGACTCATGGATAAAACCCCATCAGTGCCATCCTCACCATCTGCTGCACCATGAAGCAGTCTGGGTTTAGGGAGATCATGGGTGATTCTGGAGGTAGTCAGGGTGGGACAGTGCTACTCTGACAGCAAGCCTGGGCCCTCCTGTGGCCCCTCCGGCTGAAAACAGAGCCTAAGCATTAATAAGTGCATTGTTTTGCGACAATTTCACACACTGCAAGGTTTGTGTATAAGTATATGAATGGATTTATTTGAAGTTGAAAGAGATGCTGAAACAAATACTTGTCACCAAGGTGGTTAAATAAGATTTTAAATATTTTTTTGCAAAATAGTTAAATTTGGCAGCTTAATGAAAAACTCCTGCATCTAAAGGAATTTTAGTCACTAAAATGTTAAACAAGGGGTGATTGAATTGGTGTGGCAGGATCATCACGGCATCTTACTGTAGGCCTATACAGAGCACGGTGAAGGCGAACAACAGAGAACTAAAAACTGCAGCAGTGGGATGATTATTCTTGCTTGCAAGAAGTGTTTTCCAAACTCGCAGCAATCCAGCCACATTTGATTAGATTCCCATGGGCTAACGGCTAGTCTGAGCACATTTAAGAGCGAAGTGTGTAACCTTTAAACTCCAGAGGTTAGGGTTGGAGGTTCAATGCAAAGCAGAGGTGTCCAAACCTTCAAAAAGGGCCAAATATACAATGTTAAAAGCCTTTGTTGGCCACAAAAATAGTTCTTATTGAAAAACAAAAGCAAATTTTACTTTATTGTAACTTTAAACTTTGTTTTACTTAAAAATAAACCTTACATTAGTGGTAATATGAATATAAAATGCTAAATGTTTCAATCAAGATCAATATAAAGTTATAAAGTCTGTTGGAGGTATAGGTCCACTTCTGTGGGACATGCCTGATGTAATGTTATTTTAACACTGTTGTTGTCAGTTTAGCATTACATGACTACTCACAACAAATGTTTGATTATTTGTAATTTCACCAGAGCAGAAAGTAGCACTTCCTGGATAAAAAAAAAAAAATTGGCCTATTTATACAATTGTGCATTACAAAATTATTGCCAGTGTTAATGTTTAAAAGATAATGTCACATGCAAAGCTGAGAAACTTTGGAGCCAATTTAAAGCTAAAGTGCGTTCTAATTTTTCAAGACAAGTTAATTTATATGTTTTCATTTGAAAATGCTAAAGTTTTACTATGGTTATTATTATGGTAAATGCCCTGCATTTAATATAGCACCTTCTAGAGTCCTGGAACCCCCCAAGGTGCTTTACAACACAACCAGTCATTCAACCATTCACACACACATTCACACACTGGTGGGGATGAGCTATGATGTAGCCACAGCTGCCCTGGGGCGCACTGACAGGCGAGGCTGCCGATCACTGGCGCCACCGGTCCCTCCGACCACCACCAGCAGGCAACGTGGGTTAAGTGTCTTGCCCAAGGACACAGCGACAGCGACAGACTAAGAGGGGCTCGAACTTGCAACCTTCCGCCCACGAAAATTATTATTATGTATTATTATTATGTATTTTGTACTCCTCAAATAGGTCCAAACTTGGCATATTAGTAAGAATCCAGCTTGTCAGTCTAGATGGAAGTAAACGGTAGATAAAGGAAGCTAAATATTGATAACATTCACACACAAACACTTAAAAGTTGCCTTGAATGTGTTCTTTTTTATGAATGTTTTTGGTAGCCTGCTAGCAAAATGGTGAACTTTTGTTTTGCCTTGGTGACTTATACTGAAATATGCTTTACCGCCTAAATAAATGTGATTTACTGTAGTGATTTTTCATTAGCTTTCTTCTTAAGCGATTTAGACTCCATTTCCCATGATGCTCCGCGGCGTGGCGGCAGCAGCAGCTGTGCGCTCAGACTTGCCCGCAGCAAAGTGATGATAACATGCCGAACAAGGTAGAAAAGCGTAGAATTTGACATTCCGCCTGCTCCTTTAGACAGTGGTGCGGCATCACTGATGCCTAAACCTGCGGAGTAGCACGATGGCTGCCGAAGGTAAGAGGCTATAGCAGCGCTGTTTACGGCTGTTTCACAGATAATGCCAGCGGGTTTTCCATCCAGACGCCGTCGGGTCAGCTGCGATTGGGTGATGTGGCAGCAGGATGTGACTGTTTCTCTGGTGTTTCTGCTGGAAATGGGTTGGCAGTGCTGTGGTTGGCTACGTGCTCACACACCATAAACCCGTGAACGTCTCTGGTTGTATTGACATTGTTCCCGAGGAGCAGAATGCTGGTTAACAGGTCTGAGGGAGAAAAAACGTCTCGTGCTCAATCACCTCCGGCTCACCTGGCACTGGCTCTTCTCGAGAGAAGCCCCGGGGCTTTTTTAATCATTATTTTGCTCATTCACGTCGCTTATTCGCCTTCAGGGGAGGCTATTTTGTTTTCTTCGGTGTTGGTGATGCAACAGAGCTCCGCGTGAGCGCTCAGACTCGGTTCTCCAGAGTCGTCAGAGGGATTCAGGCTCCTCATCCGGCAGCAGGTGTCCATGTGGACCAAAGAAGTCAGCGCGCTAATTTACTGTCAATTCATTGATTAAGAAGCTTAAAGTCGTTGAGTCGGGATGCTCGGCCAGTCTCCTCACCTTGTCGGAAGGCATCTTATGGATTCAGAATCCTATCAGAGGTATGTTGGCAGGGGGGCTGCCAGAGATTTTGGGCCCCATGAAAAAATATCAAGTTGGGCCCCCTGGGGGCTCGTCCATAGCTGGAGCTGGGGTTCCACCCTCCCAGATTCGAAGGGAGAAAAATATAATATATATACACTTTATATTAGTGTTTCAGTTTTGCTTAATTATGTAGGTCTACATGCATTCTTATTTGTTTACATATCATTTTCACCAACTGTCTTTCATTAAACAGTGAATTTCCTTCAACAGAATTAGCAATATCACTGCTGGAAAAAGCAGGAAATGCGCACGCTGAAAGGTGTTAATCTCCTTTTTCCTATTACTCCCTTAAAATGTGTTTATTTATTCTAAAATTTTATTTGATGATAAAATTCAAATTTGGATATCTAATTAAATTTCCATGTTGTGTCAAAGCTTTACATAACTACATTTTCAGCTGTCTTTCCTCTTGAAATCAAGTATTTCTGTATGACTGACAAAAATTAAGGATTCACTGCTCACAAGGTGACTTCTTTATTAAGTCTCCACGGCTTCATCATAGACACAAAATGAATAAGCACACGGTTCAAACCGGAGTCAGTTAGGGCTACATAAAATTTTAAAGTTGGATAACTTTGCATGAATACATATATAAGTCTCTAGTAACCCATTTTTCTCAACAAAAAACAGCTAAAATATATATTCAGCCTTGATTGTACACAGCAAGATTTATTATTTACAGTGATATAATTAATAATGCTCCTGAGAGACATACTTAGTGACGGACTAAATAAAAATGCTTCAACGTGCCCAGCATCCAAAACAGTCTATACATTTTCACTGATTGATATATATGTAATTATCATTATATGGAAAAACAATGTGTTTATCACCAAAAATAGCCTTTATATATTCCTTTGTAATAGTACTGATAAAGAGGAGAGCCTTAAGTGATTCCCACAGACCCCCTTAAATGAGGCTGCTAGCTAACATGCTACATTGCTCACCTTCTTGAGGTTCATTGGGTTGTGAGGAGACACCTGCTGACATATCATCAGCTGCTGATTCTGGTAGGGACAAGAACGACAACCCATTTACCATAATTAGATGAAACATAGTTCCTCTCACTGTGGATATCAGAGCTAGCAAACCGGTTGAATTTAACCACTCACTAACTAAACCCACCTTTCTTAGAGAAAAACTGTGTGACATACTGACGCCCTCTCTTCTGCCTGTCCTTTCTCCTTTTTTTTCTTTCCTTTTCTGTGACCCAGACTTTGTTTTTGCAGACATATTTACTGCAGCCTTGGCGCACTCTGCTGTCTGACTGCTGCGTGAGCTGGCCTGGCCTGCTACGCGCCCCTCGGCCAGGTGGACTGTACCATTTCATGCCGTTAGGAGGGGGGGGGGGGGGGGGGGGGTTCAAATTAATTAGTCAAAATAAAGTAGGGACCTCTGAATAAATACACATTTCATAAAGACTAAAAGATTGTTTGTTTAATGTCTTAAATGAGAAAAAATACTGCAAAGTCAAGTACTTGTGATTTTTAACCTTTATTTATTTTTTATTCAACTTTGAAACTTTTTTGGGCCCCTGACAGCTGTGGGCCCTTAGAATCTTCCTAATCTTTCACCGCTTTACGGCGCCCCTGTATGTTGGACTGGGGGGGAAAGAGGGCGGGTGGACCAGGCCTGTCCTACCCTCCAAATAAGGCCTAGAAGATCAAACCTTGTTTGTTTATTTTTCTCTCAAATCAGATTTTTACATTCACAGCCATCCAAACAATCCATGTACATCTTCTTAGTTTGGCAAGGCAGTATTTATATGGCACATTTCACACACAAAAGTGCTTTCCAATTGGCAATATTTTTTGATTTTTAAATTTAAAAGGAAAGGACAAAGTTAAAGGGTGAGCAGTTGCAGTGCGGAGCAGTCATTCAAAGGTTGATGAATACATGAAGGTTTTCAAATTTGATCTAAAAGTTACTACTTTGGTGTCTAAAATCTATGTAATGGGATCTAAATGAATTAATCTGCTTCTATACATTTAGGATCTCTGTTTTATTTTAAAGAGAAATAAATAAAAATATTTTTACTTGAATCGCCCCAAAATCTGACCACTCAGGGCTTTTAACAGATTTTGGGTACATTTATATAATGAAATAATTTTTATTTATATAGTGCTTATCACAGACATAGAATGACAAAGTGCTTCACATAGATTAAAACAAAGTCGTAAAATCATAATGATCTCAAAACAGACATAGATTAATGTCAGAAAAAATGAAGTCAAAATGTCGTAAACAGATGAAAGATTACAAATATGAGTTAAAAATAAGAAAACAAGATTTATCTGAAAGCAGCTTTAAATTAAAGGGTCTTTAGCTGTTTTTTAAAAGTGTCCAGACTGTCGATACTACAAAAGGATAAGGAAGATCCTTCCAAAGTCGGGGTGCAACAGTCTGGAAGGAGCGATCACCTCGACTTTTATATCTGGTCTTTGGAACATCTAGAAGGTTCTGGTGTGTGGACCTGAGGGCACGGGTTGGAACATAAGGCTTTAACATTTCAGTAATATAGGGAGGAGCTTGACCATGTAGAGCATTGAAAGCTATAGTGAGGATTCTAAAATGAACTCTAAAGTTAACGGGTAACCAGTGCAGAGACATTAGCATAGGAGTGATGTGTGCTCTTCTGTTTGCTCCAGTTAGGAGCCTCGCTGCAGAGTTCTGGACCAACTGAAGGAGGTCAAGTGCTATTTTGTTAAAATATGTGAAGAGTGTGTTACATTTATCTAGATAGGAGGAGATAAAGGCATGGAGAACTATTTCAAGTTCATGTTTTGACACCAACCTTCGCAGTTTGTGATTAAAACAGTTTAGCAATGTTTTTGAGTGGCCTTTAAGAGACCGTGATTGGTCAAGAACAACACCCAAATTCCACAAGTTTGACTTAACGGCAGAAGATAAATGACCACGTTTTTCACTAATCAGGGGAACCATGCTCTCAGGGGCAATAATCAGACATTCAGTCTTTTCAGAGTTTAACTGAAGGAAGTTATCTTCCAGCCAGCTGGTGATAGCTGATAGACACTCTAGTAATTCAGACAGTTTATAGAACTCAGAATCCTTAAAGGAGCAGTACAGCTGAATATCATCTGCATATACAGGTGCTGGCCAGTAAATTAGAATATCATCAAAAGGTTGAAAATATTTCAGTAATTCCATTCAAAACGTGAAACTTGTACATTATATTCATGCAATGCACACAGACCAATGTATTTCCAATGTTCATTACATTTAAATTTGATATTCATAAGTGACAACTAATGAAAACTCCAAATTTGGTATCTCAAAAAATTAGAATATTCTGAAAAGGCTGAATATAGAAGACACCTGCTGCCACTCTAATCAGCTGATTTACTCAAAACACCTGCAAAGGCCTTTAAAAGGTCCCTCAGTCTTGTTTTGAAGGCACCACAATCATGGGGAAGACTTCTGACTTAACAGCTGTCCAAAAGACAATCATTGACACCTTGCACAAGGAGGGCAAGACACAAAAGGTGATTGCTAAAGAAGCTGGCTGTTCGCAGAGCTCTGTGTCCAAGCACATTAACAGACAGGCGAAGGGACGGAAAAAATGTGGTAGAAAAAAGTGTACAAGCTCTAGGGATAACCGCACCCTGCAGAGAATTGTGACGACAAACCCATTCAAAAATGTGGGGGAGATCCACAAAGAGTGGACTGCAGCTGGAGTCAGCGCTTCAAGAACCACCACGAGGAGACTCATGAAAGACATGGGATTCAGGTGTCGCATTCCGTGTGTCAAGCCACTCTTGAACAAGAAACAGCGCAAGAAGCGTCTCGCCTGGGCCAAGGACAAAAAGGACTGGACTGATGCTGAGTGGTCCAAAGTTATGTTTTCTGATGAAAGCAAGTTCTGCATTTCCTTTGGAAATCAAGGACCCAGAGTCTGGAGGAAGAGCGGAGAAGCACAGAATCCACGTTGCATGAGGTCCAGTGTAAAGTTTCCACCGTCAGTGATGGTGTGGGGTGCCATGTCATCTGCCGGTGTTGGCCCACTCTGTTTCCTGAGGTCCAGGGTCAATGCAGCCGTCTACCAGGAAGTTTTAGAGCACTTCATGCTTCCTGCTGCTGACCAACTTTATGGGGATGCAGACTTCACCTTTCAACAGGACTTGGCACCTGCACACAGTGCCAAAACCACCAGCACCTGGTTCAAGGACCATGGTATCCCTGTCCTTGATTGGCCAGCAAACTCGCCTGACCTTAACCCCATAGAAAATCTATGGGGTATTGTGAAGCGGAGGATGCAATACGCTAGACCCAACAATGCAGAGGAGCTGAAGACGACTATCAGAGCAACC